CGCTACTCGCGTAGGCTGTGTGATGTCGAAGTAAGGGGAGACACCCCGGTTTTACCTCATGGTTTGGTTGGTGGGAGGCAAAACCCCCTGGGGAGGGAGGGGGGAAGGGGGGGGGAAGCAAAGCCAGGCCCAGGGAGGGCCCCAAAATGTCCGAGGACCCGGTTTTACCTCATGGTGTCGGCCTGGAGCAGGAGGGGGTTGTCATCGGGAGGTTGTGGCATCTCCCAGGGGGTGGGAGAGTTTTTTGGGGGGCTGCTTGTGTGTGTGTGTGTGTCCCCCAAGCATGGAGCAGGGGGGCTGGGTGAGCCCCCCTCGGTGGGTGCAGCTTTCTCCTCTTTGGTGCTGCTCACGGGTTGTTTCTTCACAGGGTGATGCTGCTGCTCTGGGAGGCAGAGGATGCTCCTCTGGGCAGGCAGGTCAGTGGCAGCTCAGCCTGGGGTGAGAGCCCTTTGGGTGAGGGGGAGACGTGAGGAGAAGCCCCCCCAAAGGGCTTTTTGTTTGGCTTTGCTTTCTGCTTGCAGCTGCCTGGACTTGTGCTGGGTGGAGAAAAGCTCCTCTATACCCTGAGAGTGGGAAGTGCAGAAGGATGGAGAGGGGAACGGGCTTGGGAGAAGTGGGTCACGGGGTGCACGTTAACAGCCAGCCCGTTTTTCCCTCCCAGGGCCAAAACCCACAGCAGTCACCTGGTGTCTAATGAGTTGAAGGCTCACAAGGGAGATGAGAAGTCGTGGAGGAGGAGCATGAAGGATGCAGGTCCTTCCTGATCATAGGAACTATTAAAACAGTGGCGAGGGGTGAGTCCTGTGTTACATTTGCCACCACTATAGGGGACATACAGTCCGAAGAGAAGCCCTTTCCCCAGCCCTGTGTTTTAAATTCACACTCTTCTCACTGAGACTTTTTAACTGAGGAGGTTTTTTTCCCTCATGTCACACTCAGGCTTCCCCATCTTGATCCTTTCCTGCTACACACGAAATGTATAATTACGTTGGACAAATGTATCAGTTTTGTTACAACCCATTTATATTTCCAAACAAACCAACAGATGAGTGACTAGTGAGCTCAAAGTTTTGAGCAGGAAGCACTTGGTTGCATTCAGAGAATATTCTTGGACACAGCCTGAGCAAGGAGGGAAGGGAAGCTGCAGGAGTCAGGGTGCTTCCAAGTTAAAAGCGTGGAATAAACTCTTTAACAAGCGTGCACGTAGGTGAGAGGCAGGATTATACTTGTAGGTGAACACCTGAGGACCTGGTTAAACAAAGTCCTTCTCTACTGGTTTGTAGGGCAGGCTGCTCACAAGCCGTGGTGGGTCTCTCCGCCCGGCCTCCTGGGGGCGAAGGGAGGCAGATTAACTCGCAGAGGACAGCCCTGCTGTGTACCCAGGGCTGCCTCTCAGGCTGGTTAAGAAGCGACCTGGCCCCGTGTTTGACTCAGGTCCGACAGCAACGCTCTCCATCCCCTCCCACCCAGGTAGGGAAGGGGAGAGAGAAAAAGAGAGAGACTTGGATTGAAAACTCAACTCCCCAGCTTTAATTAAAACACTGAAGATGTAAGAAAATATATACAATTATATACGGGTATGAGCAAAAGCCTCTCGCCTCCCCCCACCCCCAGCAACTCCCACAGCATCTCCTGGGGTGGGACAGTCCCCAGGTGGGACAGTCCCGAGGGATCCTGGAGAAAGCACAGAGTGATGAGGGTCAGGAGAGCTGGAGGGTCCCCGGGGAGGGAGGGAGGAAGGGACGGATTCCTGCCCGGACGCCGGCCATGGGTGGAGAAGAAGCAGGAAGTTGTCTTGTGTGCTCTCTGAGCTTACGTAGCTCAGTGGGAAAAAATAAAAAATCAGTAAAAAGGAAAATTGGCTTCGTCCTGGCTCCAACCAGGACACCCCGGAAGTGCCCGCGGGGCCAGGAACGGGGCGGGAAGCGCGTCCGGGAACCCCCGGAACCTTGGAGCGCCGCCGCGGCGGAGCCGGTTCCGCGCTGCACCGCCGGGACATGGCGGGGCCCGCCGGGCGCGGCCTCTGCAGAGGTGACGGGGCTGCCCTGCCGCTCGGATTCCCCCACGCCGGGGAGGGGAGGTTGGGGCGTGTGTCTGACGCCGTGTTTGCTTTTCCCTCGCAGCGCTGAACCCGTGTCGAGGGTCGTCGGTGTTTCCCGGGCTCCTGCTGCGCCTCTGCCCGGCCCCGCCGCCCTCCCGGCCCTTCGCTGCGGTTGCCAAGTGAGTCTCCGTGTCTCCTTCCATCCCGGGCAGCTCCCTGGGCCCTCAGGTGTCCTGGGGGCGGCAGGGGTATGTGGTGTTTGGGAGGGGGGCCTTGGTGGCACGACACAAGCTGCTGGGTTCTAGAGAAGCAGCTTGGAGTGAGGAGACCTGAGCTGGGGGTGTTTTTCTGTCACTCGTGTAATAATAATTCATGCAGCAGTTCAGGGGGAAGAGGTACTTGGCTATTTTTTGGTGGCTGCTTCTGGAGGGCGTGGCTTTGGGCAGGGGGCTGTCAGAATGAAAGGTGTCGAGCTGGTGGAATCAATTTCCAAACTTTCCTCTTCTTGCTCCGATTTGGGTTTTATTGTTTGTTGTCTCTTCCGTGTTGCAATGTAAGTGGGAGAAGTGAAAATTACCTCTGAGTACAGAGCAGTGCAGGGTGCTGTACACCAGCTGCCCTGAAGTGCTGCAGGCTCAGTGCACTTAAATAGAGGAATAGAGTGTCTAGCTATTGCTTAAATATTTTTGTCCCCTCATTTCGGAGCCTTTGGAAATAGGCAGGAGAATAAGGATTGGGACTAGTGTCTAACTGCATGCAAAATGATCCAGGAATGGGAGGAGAAATGTGGGACTGCCATAGGCCCACTGTAAGGAGAAGGGAAACCCTGCAGGTGTCTTTGTTGTTTGAGGACCTTAGTTGCCTTCAGCTTTGGCCATCTAAGACAAGTAAGCAGGGTGAATTTCTGAAGATTCTCTTCATCTTTGTATAGTACTTTCCTTGTTAACTAATTGTTACTTCATAAGTGGAAGAGGACAGTACTGACTGTTGTAGATAGACAATGGAGTCCTGGGGTGCATGAGGAAGAGTGTGGCCAGTAGGTGAAGAGAGGTCATCCTGCCCCTCTGCTCTGGCCTGGTGAGGCTACATCTGGAAAACTGGGTCCAGTTCTGGGCTCCCCAGTTCAGGAGAGACAGGGAAGTGCTGGAGAGAGTCCAGGGAGGGCAACAAATGACTGGGGGGTTGGAGCATCTCCCTGATGAGGAAAGGCTGAGAGAGCTGGGACTGCTTAGCCTTGAGAGGAGAAGGCTGAGGACAGACCTGATCAGTGCCTGGCAGTATCTCAGGGTGGGTGCAGGAGGATGGAGCCAGACTCTGCTCAGCAGTGCCCAGGGACAGGACAGAGGGGCAATGGGCACAGGCTGGAACATGGGAAGTGCCCCTGAAATATGAGGAGAAACTTCTTTAGGGTGAAGGTGACAGAGCTCTGGGACAGGCTGCCCAGGGAGGGTGTGGAGTCCCCTTCTCTGGAGCCATCCCAAACCCCCCTGGCTGCAGCCCTGTGGGATGTGCTCTGGGCCATCCTGCTTTTGATGATCTCCAAGGTCCCTTCCAACCAGGATGATTATTTAGCAGGGGAGTTGGCCTGGATGATCCCCAGAGATCCCTTCCATCCCTGACAATTCTGTGACTTTTTTTTTTTTTTTGCTTTTGGGACACGTGCCAAACTCTTCAGTTGGTGTTCTAACACTGTGGGTTGTTTTTTTTTTGTTTGTTTGTCTTAGAACTGCCAAGAAGGGGCCACAAAAGACCAGGCAGGAGGACACAAAGAAGAAAGCAAGGCCTGGGCGGCGGCCGCTGCTGAACAAGCCCGTGGATGATGTGTACTTGACCTGGCTGTATAAGAGGCCCTCCTATGATGTGGAACAGGCTGTGGCTATGCTGAAGAAGTTCCAGGTGCTGGACTTCACTCACCCCAGACAGTATGTCTATATTAACGTCTTCCTAGACATGGCACTAGAGAAGAAGGTAGGTTGGGAGCACGTTTTGCTGGGGATTTTTGGGTTTTTAACGTGGGAGGGTTGTGTTTTGAGTGGATGCTGCTGTTGGCTGGCCCAGCTGCCTCCTACAGCTTCTCTGGTTGTCAGAACAGTGTGTTCTTTTGCAGCTGTCTTTGTGCCTTCATACCTGTTTAATTATTAAACACCCCTCACCCTCCTGAGGTGAAGATATGACCATTGAGGATCTGGAAAGCAAGCTGGTCTATGACTAAAACTCCTGCCTGGACAGAACTGTTCAAGCTAGGCTTTGCATCTGTTTTGGCTTTCCACTTGAAGATGTGTTACCAAAATCAGTTGGGATTGTTTAGTTCTGGGATGATTGTTACAGGGAGAAGCATAAAGAGAAGCTTCTTCCTGCGTCTCTGCTTCACCTTGTTTGTTCTTTTTTTTTTTTTTTAAATGTTCCTTGAAAGTATGTTATTGCTTGTTTGCCTGTGATTAATTGAATGTAAAGGTGTAGATCCCTAAAACTCCTTCTGCTTCCCCCATAAGTAGAAAACAGCCCACTTAAGAGTTGGCTTCTTTGCATGTTTTAACTGAAAAATACAGTCCCTTATAGCTAGAAAGTAAGTTCACTCTTCAAGAAGTGCAGAGCCTTAGCTCCTGCTCTTAGAAGCTCTGTGTTATTGTTAAGGTTTTGTGAGAGGCATGTTCCTTTTTGCTGATTTGCCTTGGCCAGTGCCTCAGAAACATCATGTAGATGAGCTACACCTGCAGCACCCCAGTGTTTGGTACTGACTGCAGCTGAGCCTGGTTGTAATCCATCACTGGAGTCCCTGATCCCAGGCCCGTTCTCTTGGGCAACTTGCAGCATGATCAATTCATGGCTCTTAAGCTTAGGTTTGAGTATATACCAGGCACAAAAAAGCAATCAAAACATACCCTTGTGATGACCTCTGTGCAAGGAAATTGTGTGCAAGATTGCCCTTCAGGGGACCAACTTCATGTGATTGTGTCATTGGCCCTGAAGTCATGATTATTGGTTTGGTTTTAATATTTTTCTTTCTTTACCTGCTAGAAAAAAGTGGATCCATTTTCAAGCACTGTTCTTCTCCCACACCGCTTTGCAGATGAAACAAATAAGGTCCTGGTTTTCACAGAGGTGCGTGAGCCTGATTTGTTTCCTTTATGCCTTTTATGTATCTAGCAAACTCTTACAACACGGCCAAGTCCCATGCAAGTTCTGTGCTTTTTGTGGAGGAAGTTCTGTGGCTGATTTACAGAACTCTCAAGTCTCATATGTGTCTTCAGCAGCATCTTAGTGTATCAAAAAGCACCTCACAGATTCCTATGGGAGAAGAGATCCCATGCCTTACAAAGGTCCATATTTGGAAAAAGGTCCAGCTGATGCTTTTGGAGGGAAGTGTGGAACTCTTCAGTTTATTCTTGTGAGGAAAAGTCTGGCTTTCAGTCACAAATCAAAGGCTTGAGCCAAAGTTTTTACCAAACTGGTGCCTTTCCACATTTGAGTGTTAACCTTACAGAGGACAGCTGAGATTACCTTCTAAACTCTATTGGAGGCCAAAGTTTAATAGTGTTTTCTCAAGCTGAATAGCCTTATTTTACAGTGGGTTTTAGGAGCATATTCTGTGCTCTACTTTTAAGCTTTCAGAGTAAGATGTTGGCTCCGTCCAGTGTATGGTTCATAGTAGTTTCCAGAGGATGGAGGTGGGAGGGAGAGGGATTTTGATAGAGCTCCCCAGCAAGTGGGGTGGCTTTTCTCTTCTCCCTTGGAAGTCAGCTGAAGACTTGACTATCACTTCATACTGGGACCTGAGATCATTTGATATAGGCTGCTCTCATGAAATCACCACCAGCAGCTTTTGGTCCTTGATTGCATTCAACCATTATTTCCTTCTTAACTTCTAAATAGCCTGTTCTTACACCCAGTTGTCCAAGATAAGTCACCTATCCAATGCTGTTGATAGAGACTAATTGCTGGTAGAGATTTCTCTTTCTTTCTCTCAATAGAATGAGCAAGAAGCTGAAATAGCTCGAGAGAATGGAGCTGCTATCGTGGGAGGAGTTGAACTAATCAAATGGGTATTTATTTTTATTTAAGAATTTTATAAATATCCAAACTAAGCAGGGACTGAGGGGAAGGGAGCAAGAAACCTTCTGTCCACTAACTTCAGGCCTGATGTGAGAGATGGGTTTTTGGGCTTGGATATGCTTGTGTACCGAGGTAATTGATTGTATTCCTAAATATATTTAATTGTTTTCATTGCAGATTCTGGACGATGAAATCCAAGCTGACTTTTATGTAGCTGTCCCTGCAATCATGCCTAAGCTGATACCATTGAGGAACAAACTAAAACGAAAATATCCAAACACAAGAAGAAGTAAGAAGCAATTCTTTCTTATAAATCTCAAGTACTGAACAAGATTTGACTCTGAAGGTGACACAGAAACTCTTTGATAAGGGTGTATAATTACATTGAGTATTAGTGATTGAACCACTTGTTTTGTACCAGATAAGAGTAGTTTTAGATTAGTAACTGTGCAAACAGGCAAATGTGAGACTAGAATCAGGGTGAGTTTGCCTACTAGTTGTCCCTATGCTTATTAGTCATGATGAAACATGAAAAATAACCCAGAAAATTAGCCAATTCCTTGAGACAGTTGTGTTGTCAGACTGTTGGGCAGTTGTTTGAATCCCAGCTTCCTGAGTGCTCCTGCTCTGTCTGCCTGTTCTTTACTACTCAACAAGGGAATTTTCCTTAACGCAGCCTGCCTCCCCTACCTGTGTGGACTCTCATTTCATGATGCTCAAGACATTTCCTCTTCAGGTCAGGTTTTCACAGCAACATACATCAGTCTCTCAATACTTTTGTCCGCCCTTGCTGGCCGACTTTATTTTAGTGATATGTCTGGTCTATTTAATGACTGGAGTTTAACTGCCTTAATTGAAAGCTTGAATTCTCTCCTCACTAATATCACACTTAAGCATTACTTAGACAACTTTCTTACCTTCTTTCCCCCCCCCCCTTTTTTTTTAAATTAGATTCACTGGGCCATGATATTCCCAAAATGGTGCAACTCTTCAGAGACGGTCTTGAGTACATGGTAGAAGACGAGCGTGTAATCAAGACAAGAATAGCAAGAGTAAGTTGTATGTAGAGTTTCTTTGGTGGTCAAACCTGAAATTAGTGTTAAAAGAGGAGGAAAAACATGGTTTAAATCTGTGTATGCCCAAGAGTTTTTAACCATATTCTTCAACTGACCTGTGAAGTAAACAGAACCCTTACTCTTTGCTGTGTGACGTCTTCAGCTGATGTGAGCTCTGTACATGGTTGATGTGTGGTCATAGAAGATGGCTCTGCTAAGGCTGAGAACAAGGCATTCATGATGCTAAGAAGCTAAGGATGCTAAGAATGGGATCTGTATTTGCCACTAGATTGGCAAGGAATGGCAATAATGAAAGAAATAGGAGTAAAAAGGTACTATTTCTTGCAATCTCCCTGTCAGTTGACATCTCAACACAGGCCTCCCTTTCCTCCTGCCTTCCCCAGCACTCATCTGTGAGTAAAAGAGAGGTTATTTTAATTTATTTTAGGTAAATAAAGCATGAATTGTAAGTCCATGGTCAGTGTGCACAGGTGGATCAGAAAGTGTTTGTTTTGATTTAATAATTAAAGACTCCTTTAATTCTGATAATTTTAGTCCTGGAGTAAAGCAAAAAGCAAGAATTGTTTGCATTATACCTGAAATATTAATTTGAGCTTTGCTGTCATATAAGAAAGTGGGTTATATAAAAGAGGGGCATTTTAGGCATTTAATATGTTTGCCTTAATGATTTTAAATCAATTTTCTGCATGATTTTTAGTTTTCCTTTTAACTGCTATGGAATAGATTAAATCCCTGGAGGTGTTTAAGGAAAGACTGGATGTGGCACTTAGTGCTGTAGTGTAGCTGATGTGGTGGTGTTAGGTAATAGGCTGGACTTGATGATGTCAGAGACCTTTTCCAGCCTCAATCCTGTGACTGGGTGGAAAGGAAAATGTACAGGGTATCTCACACCTGAAGCTTTGCCTGTGTTGCAGATAAGCAGGTTTATGATTTCTGGCTATCTGCTCTCATTTGTCCATGTGAATTTCAAGGGCTTGCTCATCTGTGTGGTACTTAAAACTGAGGCTCTGGGGACTATTCTACCAAATGTGTTACATGTTGCATTTTGATACAAGCCAGAAGTATCTTGAGCTGTTTGTAGGTTTGATGGACAGTGTGAAATGCCTTGAATTCATGGATCAGTCTTGGTTTTAGTATTGTGACTGAATTATTTAGTTTTTGCTATGGGCTGCTTAAACTTGAATCATTTTATACTGTAGATCAGCTTAAAAAATACCTGGAAATTAAACTTACTGTGGAGTTTTTCCTTGTATAGTAAAGAAGACAAATCAGGATTTTAATAAAGGTGAAAAAAGCAGTGGGACAGGCTGTCCAGGGAGGGTGTGGGGTCCCCTCCTCTGGAGCCATTCCAGACCCCCCTGGATGCAGCCCTGTGGGATGTGCTCTAGAGGATCCTGCTTTAGCAGGGGAGTTAGACTAGGTGATCCCTGATGCTAAGAAGCTAAGGATGCTAAGAATGGGATCTGTATTTGCCACTAGATTGGCAAGGAATGGCAATAATGAAAGAAATAGGAGTAAAAAGGTACTATTTCTTGCAATCTCCCTGTCAGTTGACATCTCAACACAGGCCTCCCTTTCCTCCTGCCTTCCCCAGCACTCATCTGTGAGTAAAAGAGAGGTTATTTTAATTTATTTTAGGTAAATAAAGCATGAATTGTAAGTCCATGGTCAGTGTGCACAGGTGGATCAGAAAGTGTTTGTTTTGATTTAATAATTAAAGACTCCTTTAATTCTGATAATTTTAGTCCTGGAGTAAAGCAAAAAGCAAGAATTGTTTGCATTATACCTGAAATATTAATTTGAGCTTTGCTGTCATATAAGAAAGTGGGTTATATAAAAGAGGGGCATTTTAGGCATTTAATATGTTTGCCTTAATGATTTTAAATCAATTTTCTGCATGATTTTTAGTTTTCCTTTTAACTGCTATGGAATAGATTAAATCCCTGGAGGTGTTTAAGGAAAGACTGGATGTGGCACTTAGTGCTGTAGTGTAGCTGATGTGGTGGTGTTAGGTAATAGGCTGGACTTGATGATGTCAGAGACCTTTTCCAGCCTCAATCCTGTGACTGGGTGGAAAGGAAAATGTACAGGGTATCTCACACCTGAAGCTTTGCCTGTGTTGCAGATAAGCAGGTTTATGATTTCTGGCTATCTGCTCTCATTTGTCCATGTGAATTTCAAGGGCTTGCTCATCTGTGTGGTACTTAAAACTGAGGCTCTGGGGACTATTCTACCAAATGTGTTACATGTTGCATTTTGATACAAGCCAGAAGTATCTTGAGCTGTTTGTAGGTTTGATGGACAGTGTGAAATGCCTTGAATTCATGGATCAGTCTTGGTTTTAGTATTGTGACTGAATTATTTAGTTTTTGCTATGGGCTGCTTAAACTTGAATCATTTTATACTGTAGATCAGCTTAAAAAATACCTGGAAATTAAACTTACTGTGGAGTTTTTCCTTGTATAGTAAAGAAGACAAATCAGGATTTTAATAAAGGTGAAAAAAGCAGTGGGACAGGCTGTCCAGGGAGGGTGTGGGGTCCCCTCCTCTGGAGCCATTCCAGACCCCCCTGGATGCAGCCCTGTGGGATGTGCTCTAGAGGATCCTGCTTTAGCAGGGGAGTTAGACTAGGTGATCTCTAGAGGTCCCTTCCAACCCTGACAGTTCTGTGAATGAAGAACCCTATCCTGCCAGCATTAGTGATGGTTGCAGCTCGTTCTGCCTAGCGCAGCATCCTGCAGCTGTGGCAGTTTCTGAAATGAAACCCACCTCCTGTGACTGCCATCAGGTGTTGGTGTCACCCGTGAGCTCAGGTTCTGTCCCTTGGCAACTCAGCCCCACCGTTTGGTGGCACATCAGGTGTGGTGCAGCCAGAGATGTTGCTCTGTCCAAGCCAACAAGTAGGTTCTTGTGAGTGAACTCTTTGGGTCAGGAGCAGAACAGTGAGGGTCTGCTGAGGGCCCACATGGGATGTGTTGGTGTCACAGGGGTGGCAGAGGATACTGCTGCCATGCAGATGGGGACACGCTCTGTCACACTGCTGGGTGTTGGGTTATGTGCAGAGGGATGACTCAGTGGTTACAGCTTGTGTCAAGTGTCTCCACCCTCCCTAGCTACTATCCTCTTCACCTGACCTAGTTTCCCCACTGTTTTCTTTGTTTGGAAGGAAACAGAGTGCAGGCAGGGCTGGGAGAGCCTTGAGTGGTTATTCCTATCTGCTCACCATCTTGAGAGCTTTTTAAATTTAAATCTTGTCAGTGAAAAAATAATGTATGAATTACACAGAAGCATCAAGATCTATCGCTGTGTTCCAGACAGCAGTGGAGATGTTTCTGGGAGTCTGCCAAAGTGGAGTTTTGCAAAGATGTTTTCCCTGAAGTGCTTCTGTCTCATGTTGCCTGTTAGTTCAATTATGGTGGTGTCTTGATGTAAATGCTGTGCTTCCACCTTAGTCAGCAGCCTGGGTGGTGTTTTTCCTCAGAGTATTTGAGATGTGTTTGAAAAGCCCAGAAGTTGACAGCAGTTAAGTTTTAATTTGTAGACTCAAAGGTGTGAAACTGAGAATGGAAAATGTTCTTTGAAGAAGTGGAAGTTTAAAGCAGAAGGGAAGACAAATGAGGACACTCCGAGTATCTCCCTCAGAATCAACTATCTACAAAGAGCAGCTGAAAGTAATTTTTTTATGAGTTTTGACAGTTCTTGAGTCCAGATGTGTTGTCAATCATCACAAATGTTATTGTTCCCAAATTGGAGCTGTCTCTAGGAAAAATTGGAATCCAGATGTGTCACCAGCAAGGAATTTCTAGTTAATCTTCCAATCTGTGCAGAGAGCTGCCTGCTAAAGGGTTCTGTGGAGAAGAGTGAGATGGTTTCAGAAGCTGAGACTTGAACGTTTGTTGGGAAGGATGTCTTTTCTGATAAGGGATATCATGAGCCCTGTTTAATTCTCAAGGTTAGAAGTATGGAGAGTTGTGTGCTGAGCCAGACACCTCTCTGGGTTGCTACACAGAATATGCAGGTGCATGGAAATGAGAGTTAAGGCAGGGAACAGAAATGCCAGTTTGTGCTAGAAGTAGCATCCATCTCCCTTGGCTGTGAATGTGATTGAAGTGTCAGTCTCCTTTGGAAAAGGGCAAAAAAGACTAATGGATCCTTAGCATTGAAATCCTTAAAGGAGGGGGCAAAAAAATCCCCAAATTTAGGGAGAGGTGTTAAGTCTTGTTGCTTCAAATGCTTGAGAGTTGAAATATGTGTATTTGAGATGAAGGGAATGCAAAAAGCACAGGGATTGTAGCACTTGTTTTTTGTTGCCTGTTGGAGCTGTTCTCTGTTGGAAATACTGCATAGAAAGGCTTGCCTTGTTTTGCAGAGTGTTAATCATTTGGTGTTAATAATTTCTCATCTTGGAGCAAGTGTTTCTGCTCTGCCATGACTGCCATTCCCTGCAGCTGTATCATGGTTGAATCACCTGGTAATTAGGTCTACAGTACAGATTCAGTGTGATCTCTCAATACAGTTTTCTAAATACACTTCAGAAAAGCAGTTCTGTGTTTAAAGCTAATGTTTTAACAGCAGGACATCTTTTTGGTTTTCACTGGCATATTTAGCCAGCAAATGGCCAGGTGGCTCCTCTGTGTATCCTGTTGCAATCTTCTAAAGACCCCCTAGAAGACCAGACCTTTTAACAGCACCCTGTGCTGCTCTAAAGAGAAGTATCCTAAACTTTAGACAGTAAGATAGGTAATATTTAATCTTTTGTGTTCTGATTGTAGTCTATACTGACATTTTCTAAGGTACTCTGTGGTTATCTTCAAAATGGACTAGAAATTGATTTACAGTTGCTCTGCAGGCATAGTTATTTTTCAGGAGGGCTCAGGACTTAGAGATACTTGTCTCTCACTGCAACCAGTATGAACAGAAGTGCTTGCACAGTCTTGGAGGTCTGGTCCAGAGTACTTTTGTCAGTTTGGTGAGCCTTGGGATTAATCTAAATAGCTAAGTGCTGATCCGCAGTGACTGTGTATACACAAGGATTTACTGTGGAATACTTTGTTTGGAAGCTGGAATATTTATTTGGATGTGGAAGCTATTTTGAAATAATTGGAAGCCTCTGAGCATTACCTGTCTCCATTATGGAGCTGCTGGCATCCCAAGTACATCATGGTATGTGGTCTTTTGGGATGTGTCATGTTGCCTGACTGAAGGCAAATCACTCTGACCTATTTTCCTGTCTTAGTTAATATTCTGTATTTGTGGCAAATCACTCTGACCTATTTTCCTGTCTTAACAAATACAGAATATTAACTAACATCCTCATTCTTTAAGATGGGCCTTGTCTCATAATGTGTTGTAGTTCCAGATCTCTGTAAGAAGTTGTAGCTTGTTTAGAGCAGCAAATGCTGCCTCTTAGGGATGCTTCTAGACTGTGGTGCAGATGATGAATGCCAAGTAGCTCACTGAAACTGGACAGCTGAAGGTTCATGTAAAGCCTGAACTCGGGTGAAGGTTTGGAAGCAAATGCTGTTGGAACCTTCCTTTGGAGTGTAGTTTCTGAGTCATTATTCCCAATTAATTGTTCAGTTTAAATGAATATTCCTTTATTTTAAATTCCACACAGCATGGTGAGCCTGGCAGCCAAGTTAAATGCTCAGCTCTAGCAAACAAATTTTTACATCTTTTTACTTATGAATGATTAAGCATGTTGCAATCAGCCTAACAATGATCAAGACAAACGTCTTCTGGCCTGTGTAACAGAGGGACTGCATTTGCATTGTCAGTCTGCCAGAAGAGCATAAAGAGAGATTAATGGACCACATCTGGGAGGAGAGTAGTCAAGTAGAACAGTATTTGTATTGCTAAGTAATGCATACATTTACAGATAAGTGAGATATTAATAAAAGGAAGAGGAGACCCCTGTGATACTTGTCTTTTTCCCATAAGATGGAGTTAATTCTGTGAGAATAAATGCTATTTTTTTTTCTTAATTCCATAGCTGAAACCCCTAGAAAAATAACTTGGTTTTTCATCTGGATAAAGCTCTGTGGATGATTTGGGTGAGGCCAGATAGCAAGTTAAAAACAGCATAGCAGTGCATTATAGCAATTGAACATGAAGGCTGAAAAATGCTTGTTAAGCTCTCCAGGAACTGAGAGGAGAGGTCAGTCCTGGCTTTCATGTGGGGTTCTTCACATGTCTCTTGATCCTGAGTTGTACCTTCTTAAAGATGAAATGAATAGCAGTCATGGTGTGAGGTGACTAGTGTATGAGGAAGGCTGGAGGTAGGAATTTTTTGGCAGCAGTGTTGGTTCATTTCCAAGCCTCTGTGATTGATCCAGTGAGGATCACACGTGCCTGAAGTGAGGTGTGTTTAAGTGCTCTGTTAGATGATCCCCAGTTTTTGTTGGAAGGTCCCAGAGATGGGAACTGGGGTGTGTAAAAAGGGTGGACACAGAACTGGTATATTTTAGAGCTCAGTGCTTCCATGTACTTCATGTGAAAAATAGAAGTTCCATGTAATATGTTAAACCAGGAAAGAAAAGGGAAATAAACTTTTTAAATTACTAAGTTGGTTCTGTGCTTAATGCCTTCAATTTGACATGCTTATGGGTTTTGAGCTCATCTGGTTTGTGGTCTTTGACAAGTACTTTTTGAAGCTCCTTTCCTCAAATGCTGTAATACGATTTTTGCAAAAAGCCTTCTATGAGTATTGTTTTTTTTAAGACTTTTTACCTCTTTAAGGCTACATGTTTAGGGAGTTGTAGGAATTTATGTCGTGGGTAGAAATATGGAGAATAATGATGAGTGCATAATCATGGATAAAATGCTTCTTTCTGAGTAATTTGGGATAAGGCTGCTAATGGGATTTGTAACTCCTTAGCAGGGAACACAGAGAAACAAATGGTATAAAAATGTAGAATAAATTTGGATTTCTCAGTCTAGGCTTTAAGTGTCATTCTGGCTAACGCTTCATTGTTCTTTTTCAGCTGGATATGCCCACTGAGCAGATAATTGCCAACCTAAAAACAGTTATCCAAGATATCTGCACGTTCAAGCCACCAACTTATGGTGAGTAGCTGTTCTTCTGCTGTGGTAGTTGAAGGTGCAGCAAACATAATGAAGGAATGAGTGCTCTTTATTGGGGTGTCAATAAATGTCCCTGCTGCTTGGTCTGTCTTGGGGCAGGAGGAGGAGGAAGGGGCTGTGGGGCAACTCGATAAACCAAAACCTAAGAACTTGGCAGCCTGGAAGAGCATGAATAGAGTCTGCTTTTCCTGATGTGAGCTCTGGTTGCACTACAGCACTGCCTAAGTGTCCATGGGAGGAAAGGAGCAAGATGTTGGATAAAACATGCAGCCTTGGTGCTTTAGTAGTTTAAATAGTTTAAGGCCATGGAAGGAAATCCTTGAGACATGGAGGTCTTTAGCATCTCTGTGCCTTGATTTTACCCTACTGACACTACCTAGTGAGGAATCTGAACCCAGAATCTACCTGCAGTTACCTTAGTTAAAACCTATCCTTCAGTTAACATCTAGACTCATGTTAGCTACCTTGTTTGAAAGTACATACCCCCCCCTTTTTTTTTTTTACCCTGTTACCAAGGTATTTTTAACATTTCTGCTGCTCCAAGGGAAAACCTTTTAGTACTTTTTATTTTTTTGTGATTTCTTAGCAAACGGATCAGGTTACAAAGGAGTAAAGGTGTGAATTCTGCATGTTGTTCAGGGGTTGTGCTTGGTGTTCTAAGCAAAGAGTGTGAATAACTAATATGCCTTCTGCTTCTTGACATCATGAAGTGAACTTGAAACAAATCTCATCTGCTTAGCTGGAGTGGAAGTGGTGATTTATGAACATCATTTTATGGAAGAATAGCCTTGTTTAAGCTAAGAAAACAACTTCTTGCATTGATTTTTGGCTTCATGTTTGCAGAAGGAATAATCTTGCATCTCTTTAGTGATGCTGCTCATAGGAACTGCTGTGCTGAGAACAAACTGTAAAAAGCCAAGTACTCGTACATGACTTTAGAAGCATTTCAGCCCAAATAAAAGGCATAAGGGGTTGGTTGACTTGAAATATAAGTAAATAGAAGCAGAAAACTCTGGTTCTGGTCATGTGCTTGACACAGTATGGATTAGTACTAGGATAAACCAGCCTGGAGACAGGAGAGTGGTTATGTTCTTTATTTTCTAGGTCCTCTGGTGCAGAAGTTGGTTATTAGATCTTCAACCAGTGAAGGTTTGCTACTGAAACTTGATGGACTTCTACCTCAGGTGGAGAAAGTAGAAGAAGAAAAAAATGCAGATGAGGATGATGATGAAGAAAAACATGCCCAAGAATCTGTTAGTACCTGATGGTGGAATTCAAATCCTATTTTATGAAATGAAATAAAAAAAATAAATCTACCTTGTGAATTTCACTTGTAAATTCTGTGTAACAAGAAACACTGTCACAACAGGAGTCTGTTGTCAAGGTGGAAGACGTTTTAAATTCCTTTAGTTGGCATCTGAAAGCTCCTTGATTTGTGTGCTGGGTTTTTTTTATTTGCTTTGAATGTAATAGTTCTTTAATAAAAATATTTCTGTAACTTCTGCAGTACTGCCATCCCATTTCCACAGTTGCAGCCAGAAGACTGGCCACTGTTACATCCATCATGCTGAGCTTTTTCCTCTGCTGAAATGGTAGGATGTTAGTGCTTTTTGTTTTGGCTCCATCACCCCACAGAGCAACTCATGCAGTTACTTATGGAGAGCTGCTGTATAACTCAGCAATGAAGGAAACTAGATTTTATTTATCATTCTGTTTTTCTGCACAGCCTGAGAGCCTATTCCCTTGAGTTGGTGGCAGGAAGGCCTGTGTGATGCTTCTGGTATCTCCATTTTCATTTAATCTGCATGCTGAAGGGGTGTACAGAGGATGGCTGCTCTGCTCCTTTGAGCCTCTGAATGCAGGTTAGTTTTGCTGACACAGTAATAGGTGAGGTTTTTCTAAGGAAAATTGGATGTGTTCTGTGCACTGTGTCTTTCAACTATTTCACCTATACAGAAGTGATATGATGCCCTTTGGAGAATCCAATGAGTTAGTGGTTTGTTTGCACTGTCCTGGAAAAGAATTGTGCTTCAAAATGTTTTGGGGTGAAACCTGAATGAAGCTACAAAGTGTAACTGTCACTTTCTTGTCTATTTTCAATCACAGAGCCACTTCTTGGTGGGCTGGTGGATAACCACTTGGGGGAAGTGGGTGGGTTTGTGTTGGGGGGGTTTAGTAGCTGTGCATGCCACTTAGATTTGGTGGAAAATCTTGGAAACAAAGCCTCTCTAATTGAAATGGAGCTGTCTTAGCAAAATTCCCTCTAAATGAGTTGAACTCTTGTTGGGGTTTGAGGTCTTCAACACATTAGAAGCCTCCATATTTTGCAGTTAGCTTTTTGGCTTTTTTGAAGCTGGTTAGTGTGGCTCAAACAGATTAAAACCAGAACACCAACTATTATTCACAGCCAGCCTTGAGCGTGCTTGTAGTGTAAGCTTACCATTCTTGGGTGGTGAGACACTGGAACAGGCTGCCCAGGGAAGCTGTGACTGCCCCATCCCTGGCAGTGTTGAAGGGCAGGTTGGATGGGGCTTGGAGCAGCCTGGGCTGGTGGGAGGTGTCCCTGCCCATGCAGGGGGTTGGATCTAGATGGCCTTGAAGGTCCCTTCCAACCCAAACCAGTCTGTGATTCTATGATTCTAACTTAGTTCAGTCTCTAGCAATGGCTGGGAATTCTTATTTTGCTTACCTTGTTTCCTTTCAGCATAGTTCTTCAATATAAACTGGAGACCAGCCTAAATATCCATGCGTCTTTTAACTGGCCGTTCAAAAACAGGTGTTTCTTGCTTTGCTGTGGAATTTCTTTCCCAGATTTTTTCCCTGTTGTTTCCACCAGGCGGCATTCTTGTTCCCTTCCGTAGGGGTGTTAGTGAAAGTTGCTCCGTGGGGTGTTTTGGGTTTGTTGTTTGTTGTTGGTTTTTTTAAATTTTGCTAAATGTAAGTTAGTAAAACTACACCCTAAAATGTGAGATGGTGCCAAAGACGGCTGGCTGTTTAGAAATGGGATGAGCTTATCCAAATCTGGAAGGGTGGTTTGTGCTTGTGGCTTTAAATCATTGCTATTCTCGGAGGAGGGGTTTGCTTTTTAACGAAGTTAGCTCTGTCTGCAAAGAAGCTCTTGTACCTCTCCTGCAACACTTGGCTGCTGTCAGTCAGGGTGCTTGCCAGGTTATTGTCAGGCCACCGTGCTGTATTTTTATTTATGTGGGGTGCTTTGCTCAGGGTTTGATCAGAAAATTCTTTTCTGGGTAAAGAAAGGCTTCACGTTGACCTCAGACTTCCTAGGCAGCAGGTGGGAAAAGCAACTCCAGTGCACTTTGAGTAGCCATTGAAACACATAATTTACTCTGGCCTGTGATTCTGAGCCTAGTAGGAGGAAGAAAATTAAATCTCTTGCCTTTTGAAGTGAACAGTTGATGTGACTGACAAAAATATTGTCAGATGTCTTCAGTGCACTCCCCTAAACATCCCATTTGGTCCCAATCTCCTTACATCAGGAACTGGTGATAAGGAGGCTGCTCGTGGTAGCCATTTGAAAGGATCTTTAGAATGGATTATGTCTTTCATTTTTTTTTTCCCTCCTTCCTCCTCTGTTCTGCAGAAATGAAAGTAGTAGAGTAAAGCTTTTTTAGCTCCCTGCATGTCAGCAAAGAGTGATTTTATTACTGCTGAATTACATGTGTTATCATGAGATAACAGTTATCTGCTGTTTGCAGCCTGAAAGGAGCAATGTGAAGGTAAGTTACCTGTGGGTGCAGAAAAGCAAGGCTTGTTGTATCATTTGCACAGGTTTCTTGGTCCCTTCTGTGTTTTTTCTTAACTTGTTTCAAAGTCTTCACTCTCTATTGTGGAAAAAGGTAGAGTTGCCCTTTGGGAGATGGGTGGCTGTTTAAAAAAAGTGGTGCTTATGCATAAAATACACAGGTGAACTTCAATCATAGGCTCTCAGACTGCTGAGTGTACTTTTGAAGAGGAAAAGTGTAGAATAATAAGCATTCCTGCAGAAATCTATACATTGAAAATGTGAACACTATGGGAATGCTGTAAATTGGGCCCTCTAGAAGCAGCTTGTGGACTTGGCCAATTTTCAGCTGCATTTTTTCAGGTATAATCCTGCAGTTCTGGGTATGTGCTGCTCCTGGATAAAGTAATAATGCTCTTGGTCTGTGTAATACTGAAGTAGCACTGTAGAAGCTGTTTACTCTGGGGTGATTTTTAGCCTGGAATGCTTCATGGACACAGAGGAGAGATGAAAGGGAGGAAGACAACATAAGATTATTCCCCTTTTAATAAACTTAGTTCCAAATCACACCAAGTGGGAATTGTTGTACATGTGGTTCGTGTGCCAATGTGTCTTGGAAACCAGCTGAGTTGTTACAGTGAGTGTAACTCAAGTGGCATTGCTTGTGTAGTCACTGCAAAGTGTGGGGCTGTAATGCTTCACTGGTTTCTGATTGGTGAGAGCAGTGTCTAAAGAGGTTTTCTGTCCTGAATGTTCATTTCTTGTAAGTCCTGTGGAATAAGAGGCACCCTTTTCATCAGAGCTTCTGTTAATGAATGCTTAATGCTTCTTTGGTAGGTGAATAGAGCACAGATCTTCTATCAAAAGCAAAATGGCAGTAACTCAGGAGCTGGTTACACAAATATGTGGTGAGGAAGGATGTTGGAAGGCATCAACCCATCCATGCCAGCTGCTTTTGTGTGGTGTTACCTGCAGGAAGGGAAAACTTACTTCAAGTAAGTTACTCCACACTGAAAGGTACTCTAGGCAAACCTTTAGCACATATTTGGGCTTGAGAGCACATCCTCCTGCTCCCTGGGGAGTTCCTAGATTACAGAATGTTATCTCCAGGTAACAAACCAGACCTTGCTGTGCCCACTCACCCCTCAGCAAGAAGGGGGAGGTGGCTGGGAGGGTGGCTGGAAGGACAAGACCATATTCCCATATACCACAAAGGTGAGGAAGGCCAACCCACGTGCCCTGTTTTCTCTGTGTGGTTTTCAGTGCATTTGTCCTTCCTTCTCTCCTGTCTCCTTTTTGAGCAGCACGATGCCAGCTCTGCTGGCTTTGGTTGGCAGCTCCATTTCAACCATCAACATTTCTCAAGGAAGTGTCGGGCTGTGGCATTTGAGGTCACAACCTCTTTGCCCCTACAAGTGTGCTTCTCCTGATGGTTTGAAAGCAGGAGTTGATGTGTGGGGCTTGGAACCCCCACTGAGTATTGAAATACTTCCACACGAGGGAAAAAAAAAGAAAGGGAGTGCTGCAATGTATTTAGAAAAGCAGATGACGTATGATTGCTTTTAAAATTGCCTTCTATGAAACTGCTCTTAGCTTCACTAAGGAGGAGAAGGCGATGAACTTGGATTCACAGTTCCTGCATATAGAAACATTTGCCCAAACAAGGAAGAAGTTGCCGTGGAAGCATGTGTGCAGCTGTGGGGGCTGACACTCAGCCTCAACCTGGACTTGTCCTGGAATTAGTTGCACTTCCAAAAGTGTGGAATCAGTCTGGGTCAAACTCGGGTCGCAGGGCTTAGGCTGTCAAATGATGCCGTGGATGTAAAGTTAGAAGTGCAGGACAGGGATGTTACAAATGCCATGTTCAAAACTGGTGCATGAAAGGCTGGCCTCTCTGTACCCATGGGAGGAGGGTTCCAGGGCACTAAGCACTTAGAATTAGCCCTAGTCCTACAGTTGCTCTGCTGCTGTACTGTAGCTGAGCATAGTCTTTGAAATGCCTAGTGAGAATCTGCCTTGTCCACCTCCTGAATTTAACTTCTGAGGTACAGACACCAATTTTAATTTTCCTAAGACAGAGCTGCCAGGTTCTGTGTTGTGTCTGCCTCTGCTCTGAAAATTAGGCTAGTCTGAGATGTCAGTGCTTCATTTCAAGGATACTAAAACTCTCTGGAAAGATCTGGGCTAACCAAGAAGCCCATCCAGACGATGTGACTGATGAGGTCTGTTCAAAAATCTAATTGTGCCTACAAGGGGATAAGATGTTTCTAAATGCTAAGCGAGGCATTAGCAATGATTACATTCCTGGTCTGCAGTACCATTGGTATTGTCAGCCTCCAAGCTCTGGGTGAAACTAACACCATAGCCTAAATCCTGTCCATGGGGTAAAGCTTGCATTGGCTAAACTAGGATGGAAGGGAAAAAACAAGCTGTTAAAACTGACTAAAAGTACTGTTGGGGATGAATGTCGTGATTTTACAAGCAGTCGTTTCTGTCAGCTGAGCTTGCTGGTGAGGAGGTGCT